TGGTGGTGTCACAGTTTTTTCTTAAATCATCAGCTGGCAGCACCGGTTGGTTTCTGTCTCGCTCTCTCTTTCAGTAAAGGAACACGAGGTCCTTTCCCCTAAATTATATTAGCAGGGGACCACTGAAATATAAATCCAGGGCCAGCCCATCCTTCACTCCCATTTGTTTTGTTAAGTTTGTCTTCATTAAACAGATGAGAGGTGGCTGCAGTCCAGCTCTAACAAAACATCAGCATAGACTGAATCTAATCCAGCGTGGGGAGGACGGCAGGTTGTGCAACAAGGAGAAACAAGTTTCCTCGTGTGTCAGATTAAGACTGTGAGACGAGCTCTGATCAGGTCAGCCTGACCAGAAGACTGAGCTTAAGGTGAGATTAGAAGAACATGGGAGGACCGACAGGCGGACAGACAAACGTCCTTTGTTGCCTTAAAAGAAAAATAATTTATCTCTTTACTTTCTCTTTAAGCTGGGAGTGTCAAACATAAGGTCCGGGGGCCAGAATTGGGCTGGCAAAGACTCCAATCGGGTCCCTTTTTTTTAATCTTATCATAAAATATCTCAGCAGTTAAACATCTTTACACTGACAGAGAGAAGAGCTCCACTCATCTGGCCCACTCACGATCAAAGTGGCATGTACAGCATGTGGTGTTCTTTAACATAGATGAAGTCTGAAAAAAAAGCAAGTACTAAAACCAGAGGTGGAGCATTTATGCACCAAGAACTGCTGTGGTTTTACTGGGAAAGCACTCCAGGCAGTAACACCGCCCAACTAAGAAAAAGTCTGCTGAACCACAAGCAAGAAATAAGCATTAACTGGTGAGCATCAAAGATGGCGGCAGTAGGACGCTGAATTCTGTTGTACCTTGGGGAGGTAGGGTCATGCTGAGCTGAGAGATCTACCACACACACACTTGAATCAAAGGTCAGGCCGGATCTCCACATCGTGTAGCATCACATCCTCTTATTTTCATTGACAAACTAACAACTTCATCTGGAGGAGATTTCAGGTCTTTTTTTGATCAGGAGAAACAAACAGTCCACACGAGCGAAGCATCTGTAACGGAGGCTGCTCGCTCCAAAAGGTCCATTACCCGCACTTGCTGAGCTGGTCTTTGGCTGAGCTGAGGGGCTGACCTGAAGTGAACTTCAGCCACATCAACCTTTGAACAGCTTTGGGTTTAAATGGATCGATGAGTCACTGGAGAAAGAAGCACAAAAATAATACAGAAGACGACACTGTATTCAGTTTTAGAGCTCATGTTGGGAGTAGTTGGCAGATAAATGGGGAAATAAAAAGTCCCTTTTGGGGATTTGTTGACAGACCTCCAATCAAACCCTGCACTTCATCTGATTTACTTCCATCTGTATTTACAGAGTGAAACACGGAGCTCGAGTTTTTCAAAAGCAGTGAATCTATTTTTATTGTTTTGTGTCTTGCTAGCTAATAATAACACAGATTAGATGCTTTAAAAGACCTCAGAGACTCGCCGGGTGTCTGATTTATCCCCAGAAATGAATAACGGAGGTTTAGGGAAGCTTAGATAAACTCGATGTGAAGCCAGAGTTCCTCTAGCTGAGCTGCCTGTAACAGCTGGAGAAGAGCAGCTGCTCCATAATGAGGTGAGGACAGTGTTTAGACACCAGCAGCTCCATTAACTCCTGGCGCCTTTACGTATCAGACTAAACGAGCTTCCCTTTATCCTCATGAATGTACGTTTAAACTGCTGTATGTTTCCATTTCTGTGCAGCTTCTGATGTATGCAGAGGGGCTGCTGAGATTATTAATATTATTATTATTTTCACTCCCACATCTATGTGAAGACGTTTCCCTTATTGGTCTTTATTTTAAAATAATGTTAAACCGATTTTATTATTTTCAGTCTTGAAGTTTATTTTTTCCAAAGGTACCTGCATTCATTTTATACTTGGTTGTATGTATTAAGCTCTGTCTTTGGGCTGCGTTACACGCCGCTCCTCTGAGACAGCAACACCCAATCTGAGGCAGAAGCTTTTTGGATGGAACTTTAGATCTTACTAGCATCCAAAGGAATGCATTATGAATAAAGTCATGCCTCTCCACAGTTATCATGAAAGGAAATTATCCGTAGAAATCAAAACCATTACTTATAGCAGGAGCTAAACATGTTTATTTCTGCTCTAAACTTGTACATTTTAACATGAGAGTCTATGGGGACCGATGGAGACTGAGGCATTTTTGGAGCCCCCAGTGGCCAATAGAGGAACTGCACTTTTGGCATTTACCCTTCATTTCTGAGCCCAGGGGGCCACACTACAACTACTTGGATGGTGGTGTGCGTTTAAAGCTGAGTGTGGAGCAGCATACACTCTGAATGGTCACTGTCTATTACACTGGTGACTGTCCCACGTGGCAGCGGCAGGTTTATGGCCATGAAACGTGGCATAAAAAGAAACCGAGAAACTCGCCAGCCCTACAAACAGATTAAAGTCTGCTAGAACTTGAACATCCTCAGCATGCACGGGAACACAGACACTCCCTGATGGCTCATAGCTGAGCTGGTGAAACAAGGTCAACACACTATTAGGCAATGAGTTTTTATGTGATACAGATTTGTATGGAGCTGCTTTATCCTTCCCCACAGTTATGCAGTCAGCCCCCCCCCCAGAGAGCAGTCCAACTTAGATTCATTACTGCAGTCTGAGTGAGCCAATGGGGGACGTGCTCTCTGCATCGAGCGTCCACTCAGATTAATCACACATCTTATGTAACTCTTCACGGTGCTAAGGGACTGATGCTCAGGAACTCATGACCTAATGACCAGCGAGCACCTCACAAGAGTTCGTTTGGAGAGCCTCCACCCGATGAAACCACTGCATGAAGAATGGAGGCTTCTTCCAACTGTAAGTCAGGACAAAGTGCCTAAAGGGAGGCACCTACGTGTGTGAGGAGGCTTACAGCATACAGCTCAGTGACACCTAGTGGACACACTTGCACATGCACTGCTATTTCTCTGTCTACTCTGGCATGTGTTGTATTCACTGTTATCTGCGCTTCACCACTCGGAATGATTACAAAGTGTCTCTGAGCTTACCTCAGCATGAGACTGTATATAAAAGACAGAAGCCTTACACTGGAGCCAGAGGTCAGAGTTGGTCTGCAGGACACAGGAAGTCACATGATTTATCAGAAATGTTAAAAATGCACTAACAGCACAAAGAGGTCCATTTCAGTGAGTCCAGTTCTCACAGCAGCATCACACATACACCGATCAGTCACTCGAGGAGCAGAAGTGCAAACTTTGAACCCTCAGGATCTGCCGTCATTTCCCAGTCTCAGCCAGCACCGCACATCCCTGTGGTTTCACCTCCATGCACAGGCACAAGCAGGTCCCGCACAAACATTAGGCAGGTGTTTTATTTTTTTGTAGTCCTGTAGAAAATGATACTTCCTGTTTGAATACTTCTTTAAATGACTGGTTCTCGTATGTCTCCAATAGGTGCAGAGATGTCATAAAATATTGAATTCATGATAAAATTCAGAAGCTAAAGTCTAAAATCAAAAGCAGCTTTTACTTTTTAAGGTCTTGTGAAATCAGCCTGCACGTCGGTGTAAACCTCAGTGGCTCCAGCAGGACTAAACTTTGCCCTGTTATTTGTCCTACAGTAACTTCCTGTTTTACTTTGAAGTTTAGTTTTCGCATTATATACTGCGCAAAAAATGAAAGCAACAAATTGGATTATAGAATCACATCAGTGAAACTCCTGGGATATTGATGGTCGGTTGCACAGGTAGTCCAACAGCCAGAAGGTTCGCTGTGTCTCTCAGCACAGTCTTAAAGTCAGTGACTTCAGGAGAGCTGCACGGCGACCATAGAAGGCCATTAACCCATCATCAGGACTGGTATCTGCTCCTTTGTGCCAGAGCTACAAAATGACCTCCAGCAGGCCACTGTTGTGTATATGTCTCTGACCAAACCATCAGAAAGAAAATTCGTGGCCTGAGGGCTCGACACCCTCTAGTGGTCTCCGTGCTCACTGCCCGGCACCGTGAGGCCGGTAGAACATCAGCTGTTGCCCTGAGCTTTTCACAGATGAGAGCAGGTTCACCCCGAGCACACGTGACAGACATGAAAGGGTCTGGAGAAGCCGTGGAGAACATTACGCTGGCTGTAACATCGTTCAGCGAACGTACAGACCTCTACAGGCAACGGCACCCTGACTACCATCAGGTGTCAGGATGAAATCCAGACCCCACGCTGGTGCAGTGAGTGCTGGGTTCCTCCTCTCTGGCCAAGTCACGTGCTGAGAGTATGCAGGTAGATTCTAGAGGATGAAGCAATCACTGCCACTGACTGATCCCCACACAGTAGGAGTACGCCCCGATGTTCTCACAAATGCATGCTTCCAGCACATCGGGGCTGTCCAAACTACTCAGGACCATTTTCTGTTGCTGCAATGACATTTCAGAAAAACTGACCTCCTGCATCACTTTTTCAGGGTTTCTTTGAATTCAGCCCTCTGAAGCTTGATCATGTTCATGTGTTTTATTTTGTTCCTTCTGTCTTCATTGGATGGTCTCTTCAGCCTCCCGCTTCCTGTTTGTTTTGTTCAATTTCCTTCTCAACTTTGGCAAAAGTGCCAGAAATGTCGTCTGTGTAATAATTAGTGTGCAGTCCATAAAAGTAAATGGCCTGTATTTATATAGCGCTTTACTAGTCCCTAAGGACCCCAAAGCGCTTTACATATCCATTCACACACACATTCACACACTGGTGATGGCAAGCACAGCCACCCTGGGGCGCACTGACAGAGGCGAGACTGCTGGACACTGGCGCCACCGGGCCCTCTGACCACCACCAGTAGGCAACGGGTGAAGTGTCTTGCCCAAGGACACAACGACCGAGACTGTCCAAGCCGGGGCTCGAACCGGCAACCTTCCGATTAAAAGGCGAACTCCCAACTCTTGAGCCACGATCGCCCCATAAAATTAAAGTAAAGCAGACACATGAACCAGTTCAAATTATTCCAAATTTCTTTTAATAAATAGAGTACATGTTTTTAGAATCATGTTCACACTAAAAAGGGTCAAAAGAGCTCATCGTTATATCATTTTTCTTAGTAAGAACAAGGCAGGCACTTTAACCAGCTTATGGTGAACGGGGAACAACAGGAAGGAGGGCCGTGTGCGTGCACTCGCGCACACGTGTTTAAAAAAACTCAGTAAACAACATATATGTTTCATCACGGTAAATAATATCATCATAGAAACTAAAAGCACATCGAAACCGAAGAAAAAGAAACACCCACAACCAGAGCTCGCAGCCGGACGCCGAGAGGAACGAAAACCTGCCGCCGAGCGTTAGAGTCTCATTTACACGTCCAGTTTGGTTTCACGTCCCCACATCTTACAGCCAAAGACTGAAACAAATACGGCATCAGTTAGAAAGCAGTACAGCGGCGCGGATGTGCAGTGAGGGAGAGGACAGAAGCAACAGTCACACTTGGAGTCTGAACACAGCTTCAGCCAGACTCATTTTCTCTTTTGGATTTTAAAAAAATATGATAAATCTGGAAATGTGGCAAAGCAGCAACTGGACCGCAGATGGAAGGTTTCGGCTTTATTAATAAGAAATTAAATTCACTGCTGAAACTGGACAGAACTGAGATAAAGAGCGCTGTGCGATCTCACTAATTACAGCCGCTGCAGTTTCAACAGCCGAGCACGTTTTCAGTCCTGACGCCAGAGCAAAGATTCCCAACCGCAGGATTCAGAGGCGTAAACGTCTGAAGACTTAAACTCTGTGGACGCACAAAAGTCGACAAAGCCTCGGGTGCTTCAGGGTTATTTAGTAATCATGGTTGAATTTTAGGCTTATGTGCAAGTCTGAGGATCAGATAACATGAACAGGAATCAAAGTAAGAGGCACCGATTCACATCAAGCCATCTCAAGGCGCTTTAAGATAAAACCCAGACGATCAAACAATCCCCTACAAGCAAATAAACGGAGAGAAACTCGTTTTTGAACAGCTGGAGGCCTCCAACAGAGCCAGGAGAAGGACTTGACCTTGGATAAAAACAAAGGACAGCAGAAGCTTTCTGTTAAAGCCCATCTTAGATTTTTCACCTCCTTGATCAGGCTTCACTCGCTTAAAACAGGCCAGAGCGACGCGTTTTACCACCAGAGGCGCTTTTCTTTCTTTCAAAGCTGCACTGGAGTCTTGCTGATGTTTGGAGCACCTTGGCGGCTACTTAGCAAGCTAACTGGTAACGTGCTGGTGCTGAGAGACAAATAAAAAAGCTTGCTGGTTTGGAGATACCAGTTAGCATGCTGGAAAGAAGAAGTAACCTCACAGACGTTAGCAGCGTTCTCGAAGGACGGTGATGAGAAACTGAAATAAACCTTCACTGACTGCAGCTTTCAAATAAACTTCTTTGGTTAAATAAGCGCTTAAAAAAGGAGGTGGAAACGCTGCAAACAGAGGTCACGACACACTTGACAAACGGAAGTTCCATCATAGCCTAAATTTACCAGTTATTTGAATTCTTATTACAGTCATTCCGAAAGTGTGCGCCCCCTGGTGGACTCCAGAGGTGCTACAGTATGTACAGTCACATATTAATATAAATGTATTTCTTTATATAACAAGTGATTTAAAATTGCTAATATGACATGGCCAGTTAGTGATATCACTCATTACTCTGACCTGAATTTACTGCTCGGTGCTGAAGTTTCACACATTGGAGCCAATTTGATTTTTGTATTTTTTTTTTAAATATAATTTTTAAGCAAATACATCACTTGTATTTTGATTTTTGGTGAAGATTTAAGATTGGGCGTGCTCCATGTGAGTTTCCCGTCTTTAAACGGGCTGCAGCACACTTCACTTTGGGAATGCCTGCTTCATTAAAGAGCTTTAAATCTTCCATAGCAAACATGAAGCAGATGATTGTCTTTCATCGCAGAGGCTCTAAAGCACTGTAGTCGCGGTGACCAAATATGAAGTAAATGAACTAAAGCTGGAAGCTTAATCAAATCTATCGGGGGAGGCTTCTGCAGAGGCGTATTTCCTCTATTTTCCTTCAGACAAACAGCTATTATTTTATTCTCAAGGCTAGGCCGTCCTTCTGCATTTCAGGGATCAGAAGCCACCCAAAGTTTCTCAATGCGGGACTTTCCCTGCAGCAGGATCACCCGTGGCGGACACAGATGCCTGCATGACCCTGCTGCGTGACTTGTGTTCAGTGCTGTCTTATGAAAGAGACAGACCAGCATCTTTTCTAATCTAAGAAAATGACACATTTTTCCATCACTGACGACGGGAAATATTCAGTAAGCGTGACCTCTGGAAACCTGCTCATGAAAGCTGGCCGCTCAGCGACCTCTGCTCAGTGAATCTGGACCTCGAGCTTCTCTGCGCGAGTTTAAAATGAAAAACACCGAGATGTGGGATTAGTCAGTCTCTCAGTCAGTCTTCCATGCTGCTGGAAGCAAACACACAAACTTTGGTGCATCACAGGAAGTGAGAGTCGCGGCGCCACTGAAACGTGTAACAGCAAGCCGTGTTTGTCGTTTGCCTGGAGTGACAGACTGTAGGATACAAGGGAAGACAAGGAGAAGGGAAAACAGCGGAGGAAGGTCCCATCCCAAAAAAACAAAACAAAGAACTGGTCCCAGGAGGTTCAGCAGGACACGCAGAGTCTGACAGTGTGCACAAGTGTGTGTGTGTGTGTGTCCATTAGAGTTTGTCAGAACAGGGTTATGTGCACATCTTGATCCTCAGCCAGGAGGAGCTGGGACCCGGAGACGCCGCTGGGGCTTCCCCACGCCGGCTTGTCCTCCTCTTTCACTTTGAAGGCTGCAGCGTCTCCTGCAGGGACAGGCGGGAGCGCGCCGGGGGAAGGGGCACCATCACGGACTGGACCCCGCTCAGCCTCCAGGGGAGGAGGCCCAGGAAGTTGTCCCGATGGCGCGTGTCCAGAGCGAGGCTGAGCACTCTCTGGGGACTGCGAGTCTTGGGGTTCCTCATCGACTGGGAGGTAGAAGGTGGAGGTGGAAGGGGAGTGGTCACTGTGCTCCTGAGGAGACGGAGGGAAGAGAAGGAGGAGGTGAGGCAGAAGCGGTGACTATGAATGACAGATGGAGAGATGGATGGATGGAGGGCTCGGTGGGTGGATGGATGAGTGTGTGATGGAGATGGAAAAGAGGAAACGCTGTCAGAGTCATTCAGGCCCGAGCTTCCCATCAAGCTGCAGCTCAGCCACATTATTTTTCTTCCTCTACAGAAAACTGAAAGTCTAAACTAAAACTTTGCTGCTAAAAACTTGACGTTTCCTACATTTTCTTCAAAACAGCATTAAAACTAAAACTCCGTGTCTTTGTGTGACCACATGTCCTCGTCAGCTCCCTGGATTAAAGTAGACTAAACTCCTGAAACTGCTCTGGAAAGTATTGACATTAGACTCCTTGTGTTGGCTCAGGAAAATGTAAAGCTCGAGTCACAGAATCAGTGAAAACGTGGAGCTTACAGCCAATTTAATCGGAAACATCCGGATCAGGCTCTGTGAAACGAAAGCTGCTCGCTTGATATTAAAGATGCTCATCAGTCATCACCATCTTCTAATCCTTATTTTAGATTAGAATCAGACCTGATTGATCAGCCTGCATATTTAGGGTTCCCATTAAATACACAATAATCCCTATTGCTAGGCAAAAGTAGCAGACAGACAAGTGGCAGCAAAAGCAAAGAAGCTTCCTCAGTGTTATAATAATAATATTAGTTGTTATTAGGCAGTGCTTGGACAGTAAGCTTTCAGGGAGGGTGCAATGAACACTGTAAAAGATGATGATTAGTTACTCTAGCAAGGACAGCTTACAGAGGTGAAGCCAAGGACGTTCTCTTTGATGATTTAACAGCACGGGCAGCCACATTAAAGCACCGTGACCTTCTTTTGCCACTTTAATGGAGAGAGGGGGTTCTAAACACTACAGTACCCACAATCCTCCAGCTGGCTAACCTGCTCTCAATGGACAAACAGTTACACACGAGTGAAATGCGGTGAGTTTAAACAAGGCTTCATGCAGATACAAGCAACACGTACGAATGGGTGGCGCCGCAGCCGCCAGGGAGCAGGGTGGGATCAAGCAGCAGGTGCAAAGAAGCTGAGGCATCGGGGCTTGGTGATTGGACGATGAGCAGCAGCAGGCGGAGGAGGAGGGACAGGAAGAAGGCGGCGGTGGGGCTCATTTGGGGAAGGTTAGTACGTCACTGTCACACCTTACTCTCTGTAAGGCAAGCGCACACACACACACACACACACACACACACACACACACACACACACACACACACACACGGAGGAAAAACAGAAAGACAAAGTGTTAGCGGGATAAAAAAGAGAGACTCGGGATGAGTTAGGCTCTTGTGGAGTCCTGCTGGGAGTCGGGAACGCTGTAAATCTGAATCAGGAGTGAAGAATGAAACAACGTGAAACCCTCAGAGATGATGGTGCAGGTGGTGCAGGATGATGTTCATGAGCGGGTGGAGCTGAAGTTTCTGCCTACACGAGAGCGTGTTGGATCAATAAAAGAAAGACAGAGAGACGAGCTGTGATGTGAGAGGATGGACGTGTTAATCCAAGGCAGTCGATGGAGGACCAGAGAGAAAAGTCAACGTGTTACGAGGAGGACGCTGCCAAAACAACAGTGTACGAAGAAATCGTCAGTGTCGATGTGGAGGAAGCATCTCAGCCTGTGAGCTACAGTTAAAGGTCAAAGGTCAGCTGATCAACTCAATTTCAGAGTTTTTTCCAGCTGCATCAAGCTGAGGGCAGCACGACTGTGACTGGACAACACTGTGGCACAAACCCATCCACAGGATATAAATATGTAAGGAAGACTGGAAATAATCTGATCATCTAGGTTGTTAATTTTTTTATCATGAGTTTAAGTTCAGTCTAATCTGGATGTGAATCATTCAGAAGGTCTGAAATGAAGCGTCAAACCCAAAAACCCTGAATTATTCCATAAAGTGTCTTCTTCATGAACAAAATGCATTTCGATGAAGGCAGAAAGAAAATCTGAACTTTCACTATTTAGAGCCATGAGTCACAAAGTGCAGGCTGTCACCCCCTGGTGGGCTTTAAGGGTACTGCACAAGGGTCTACATGGGTCATTTCCAATAAATTCAATTAAGTATTTAATTAGATTCAGATACCATAATCCTGTAGAATAAATCTTAAACATTTAGATTTGAACAAATGAAACAAGGCTATGGATTTAAAATCCCTTTTTTATTACTATTCTTACTTTTTCTAACCTGTTTTTGATACTGAACTAGTCTTATATCTTTTCATTAGCTGAAAAGAACTTAAATCAACAGAAGATCTGAATAAATCACATAAACAGGAAGGAAATACTTGATTTTTATGCTTCTGTGATAATCAGAGTTCTGACTAAAGGTTTGGGTGAGATCCAGGCATGAACTGTAAACTCTCAAACTCTGAATGTTTCTGAGATTCATCCAAACGCACAAACTATCCAGCTGCACGTGCTGCAGGCTCCAGATGTGGCTACAAAGACCTGCTGCTTGAGCAACAGCTGGAGTGACTGTTCAGCCTGGCTGTAGCTTTAGGATGGATGAACACTACAGCGTCGACGCACAGAGAGCTCAGAGTGAGGAAGGACCACAACGCGTCTGTTGTGGTGCGCAGGGTGAAGGCTCGGTGAGGGGGAAGCTGTGGTGAATGGGTCGGGGTGCAGGGGTTGGGGGTAAAGGGCACGGGGGTCACATACGTGCTGCATTCACCGCTGCAGAATGGCGTATACCTCTGTATACAAGGACTGGACAGCCTTCTGGCCTGACGGATCTGAAAACAACAGTTTACAGCACAACTCAGTTACAGCGCGGAAGAGAGCTCCTATTCAAGCGAAGCCACACATCCACCCATCCATCCATCCATCCATCCATCCACCCATCTATCCGTCCATCCATCCACCCACACATCCATCCATCCACCCATCTATCCATCCATCCATCCACCCACATATTTATCCAGCCATCCACCCACATATCCATCCAGCCATCCACCCACACATCCATCTATCCATCCATCCATCCACCCACCCATCTATCCATCCAGCCATCCACCCACACATCCATCTATCCACCCACACATCCATCCATCCATCCATCCATCCATCCATCCATCCATCCATCCACCCACATATCCATCCATCCATCCATCCACCCACATATCCATCCATCCATCCATCCATCCATCCATCCATCCACCCACACATCCATCCATCCAGCCATCCACCCACCCATCCATCCATCCATCCATCCACCCACCCATCTATTCATCCATCCATCCATCCATGCATCCATCCACACATCCACCCATCTATCCCTCCATCCATCCATCATCCACACCTTACACAGACAGAAACCAGCCAACCTGCTTTTATTTCTTGTGACAAACATCTGTGTGAGGTGTGATCCAGACATTCTGAGGACAGCTCAATTAAAAGTTGCTAATCCCCCTTCAGGGTCATGGTTACTGGAAGTTTAGGGCCAGTGAAAAGAGTGAGGAGTCTTTTGGAATTTTTTCCCAGAATTCTGAGAAAGAAATCCCCAAATTCCCCCATTTTTTTCAGCGGCTGTAATCCTCTTCCAGGCAGGTTCACACAGCTTCCAGCTCTGCTGCTGTTTGTGAAATCTGTGCTCGGACGTCCCGTTCTGAACACTTTGCACTGTGCAATCGGTGATTTCACCATCAGTCATGGACTTCTGCTTTGGTCGGCCTGAATTTCCTCTGATGGGGGGACCTCTGACTACAGCTGAGCAGTTTTCACTTGGAGTTAATAGTTTCCAAACTTAGTTATAGCTTCAGGCGAGGAGCGTTACCGGGAGAATGGCGGGTTTTTATAAGGTCTGATACACTGGAGCAGCAATCACAGATGCACAAGTACAAGAGGACATGACGGGACTTTCACAGAGAGATCTAAGATAACAGCTGTCCAGAGGTGCTTGTTGTCTAAGCTGTCTGTGGTCTGCTTCTTCCACCAGTTACAAGGGTAAAGATAACAATGTTGTTTTGAATCAGAAACCTTTAAAATGTCTGAAATCGACGTCTTTTAGAGCTTTTCCATAAACTGGTTTGTTTTTCTCTTACAAACCAGTTTATGTGTGTGTGTGTGTGTGTGTGTGTGTGTGTGTGTGTGTGTGTGTGTGTGTGTGTGTGTGTGTGTGTGTGTGAGTGTGTGTGAGAGCGAGAAAGATTTAACAGAAATGCACAAAAACACATGCATCAGTCACGGTCATCATCATCTGTGAAAGTGTCACAAAATCACGAGCAGGGTATTAAAATCACACACACAAATGACTTCACACTCAGTCTCATCCCGAATGACAGATTTACAATTAAAATATTCCCACACTGGGTTAAGCACCCAAATCATCTGAAGATTGTTTTGTTAATAAAAATCTTTGAATTAATTAAAGAAATCTAATAAAGGTTTACAGAGTTATAGACCTCATTAAGCTGCTGCAGTGCTGTGTTTCTGCCACATGGTGGCACTGCTGCACTCGCTCATGCAGCCACATGTTGCTGCAGCGTGAAGTGAGCAGGAAGAAACACTTCATATCATTTTAAAGACCAATGAGAAGAAGGAATGCATCTTCAATTATGGCAGCATCTTTGTACCATCTTAGTTAAACTGAATTATTCATGTTCTAAAACTGCTACATCTGTCCTGCTAAATCAAACTCATCCTTTTCCATGTCACCTAAACCTCTTTTACCAAGTAGCTTCACCTGAGATGATACGTACAGTGTTAGCGGAGCGCCCGGGACCGCGCTGGGCCACGATGGCGCCTGAGATGGCCTTAATCCAGCTGTGCATGTCCTCTGGACTGTCAGCCTGACAGAGAGAAACACAGGAATGTAAATGAATGCACGCTATGATTCTAAACACGTACATATGACATAATACGGTGACTTTAACTCGATTAAACGAAGTCTTCCTGTCAGTAAATCACTCCTTCTCAGTAGTTGAGTTAGAAGAGTTGGAAAGAACAAAGACGACCAAATGTCCCATCAGTACATCCTCATCAGTATCTCATGTGGAGACAGCGGAGAGAGTAAATCCTTCAGAAGATGGAGGCGTGGAGCAATCATCCAAATGTTGAATCTAATTTACACTCATTTGGCTCAAAGCAGAACAGATGAGACAACGGTGCAGAAAGAGCTTCTCCTGACTGATGACCGCGTCCTCCTCATGCGTGTTACCTGTATGTAGAAGGTTCTTGAGCTGGTGACCATCTCGAACAGGTTGTCCCTCATCATGTGCTCGCTGGAGGACACAGAGGAGACGTTTTAGTGAACTTCCCCTGAATCAACCCAAACACAGAGCTGACAGGGAGGCTGACTGACCTCTGCTTGCACTCCTGCACTTTGTGGATCTCCTTCAGCGGGATGGCTCTCAGCGGCTCCCTCTCCTGAGACGACGGAGGAGAGGAAGTACATATCAAAAGCAAACCGAAACACGTGACCTCGTCACGATGGGTCGGGTAATATTTAGTGTCTGCGTTTGATTTCATTTAAATTTTGTGAGAAAAAAACCTCTGCTTAAATCTTTGCTGTGGTCAGTCGAGTGAACAAAACGTCAGTCGTCTCACAGCGATTGGAAACGCGACTCTAAGTCAGACGTTTAGATAGCCGACACAGCTCTGCAGCGCGGCGGCTTCACTGCAATCAAAGGACGACTCACGCCACGGCTGAGCTGACGAACTTTCATATTCACACTCTGTCAAACCACAGAAGGCAGTGAGCGGCATGCTTTTACACTGATCAGAGATCATCACCTCGGCTTACACCAACATACATACATAACATACGCAGCAAGGGTGTCAAACGTAAGGCCCAAGGGCCAGAACCGGCCCAGCGAAGACTCTAATCCGGCCCACTGCAATAAAATGTGAACGAGTGCATCAATTTTAGACTTTTAACTGTATTTTTGAATCAATAAAGACCTCGCCATGGACACTCATGGTGCACCAAGTAGTAAAATAATCGTTAAACAATTAAATGACAGAAAAGTTCCTCTTTTTCTACTATCCACTCTGCTACAGACGTTTTTGATTTTTTTACAGTGGCTCCAGGGTTAAAAAAAGGCCATGTGAGCAATGAGCTGCCAGAACATTGACTGTAATTTTACACATTTATCAGGTAGAAAACTGAGATGTATTGTTGAACCTGCACTTATATTTCATGTATTAAGACATTTCAGGGATTAAATGTTTGATGAAATGTCTTTACGCTGTCAGAAACACCACCTTCCCTGGTTTGGCCCAGTTAAGATCAAACTGGGGCGCACGTGACCACGATGGAAGATTAGTCTGACATCCCTGATGTGCAGCATCACCTGGCTTAACGAGCTGCCTATAATCAGCACTTGGCGACGCTAACTAAGTAAATCACCTATAAACGGTGCTCAGTGTGTGCTATTGCTGAAGGCTGGGGTTATTTGACTGTCAGATAGTTCGCCCGTGTGTCATTCGGATCAGCATCCATGAAGACACGCGTGTGCTGATGATATGCATGATCTAAATGCTTGATCGTGTCGGTCTGTATGACTCGCAGTCAGCGGCGATAGCATGCAAACAAATGTCCTCTGCAGCAGCTGCACTCACTCAGGACATGATTACACATAAAAAGGTGTGAACACTCAGCCAGACACACATATATGTACGCACACACACACACGGGGTGTGCCCATATATGTGCACAGACAGGCCGTAGTTAGGGCTAATCTGTCCACACGTAGATGACATGAGGAGGTATTCAGGACGCATGCCTCTGCATGTGGAGACACGCAGCAAGTTTTGCAACAAGCACAGATTTTTTTCACTCTCTTCTTCTTCAGTGTCTGTTTGGGAGCAACGTGATGCGTCTTTGAGCACTGATGTCACCGTGTTTGAGCTCTTCACCGTTTCCTCACCATGTCAGTTTTGTAGTAGTTGAGAGAATTTTCATCCAGGACAAAGTACCGCCTCTTCCAGTTCTTCATCTGAGAGGAAGAAGCAAAGCACGTTTCAAAGTTTCTGTTTAGCTGCTTTCTGTTTTATTTTGAAATACAGTTAGGTTAGTTCTACGCCTGCCACTTCCTTCTGTTTTCTAACATTTTTGTGCCGCACCTGTACATACGGTGTATTTATAAGGCACCAGACTGTATTCTTACTGTGGTTATTGTTCATTTTTGGAAAGAAATATTTTCTGTTAAAAAACATTATTTTAATATGGCAGGTAACTGCAGCGAAAGGTTTACTTTGTTTTTCTAAGATTGAAACCAGTGACCGAGTTATTTTCAAAGATTTTTCTCTTCTGAACATCGACTGTTGCTCATTAATAACACAAAAGTATTTTTATCTGATTACTGTGTGAGATTTTATCCAACCAAACGTGATGGTTCATTATGACGACACTGAATAACCCTGAGTGTGTGTGTGTGTCTCACCACAGCTCCTTGTTTCACACAGTATCCCGCTTTGATGATGGCCTGATCCTGCGCTCCTCTGGACAGGAAGTAGGGCATTTGATTCTGAGCCCGCTTTACGCCTCCACGATCAGCTCCATTGTGCCCCTCTCCCTGCTCCTTAAACACACACACACACACACACACACACACACACACACACACACACACACACACACACACACACACACACACACACACACACACACACACACACACACACACACACACACACGAACATTAGACTTCATCTGGATTCATTTTACGGGATTTTCTCACATATATAAAACACTGAAGTCTTAAAGTTTCAACTGATTTCTAAAGTCGTCCTCTGCTGAAGAGTTTGTGGACTTTTTACTTCCACACTGAGCCGTGTCCAGTCAGCACGTCCACACTTCATTTCTCCAATTCAAACTGCTCTGAACACTCGGTTTCACACAGTTTTTTTTTTTTTACTTCTGACACCCGGTGATGTCATCGAGAGGGGATACCCCTACCACGACACACCGGCCACCTGCCAGCCCATTGATCCAATCTTGCGTTTTGAGGGGCAGCCAATCAGAAGAAAGCTGAAAGACTTTAAGAGGGAGGAGCTAAACGTGTTGTTTTCACACAGAGGATGAACTGAGGGGCAGCATGAAAGCCCGGTGTAAAACAAATAAGGATTATTATGAACTCTGAATCATCCAAAGCTACTCTAAGAGAGTCCAAGAATAAAAATAAGACGACAGTCAGCGATGATAATATATCATTGTTTTCAATGATATATTACCCATAATGCAACTCCTCTGACTGGGGTCGCTAGTCTCAATCATAAACAAACGATGGATTACAAAGATTTTGCAGTTTTACTTCCTAAAACCGGCGTAACAATCACAGATGTGCAAAACTGTCAGAGGTCCCCTTTAACAAATAAAAACAAACCTCAGCTATCAGCAGCTAAATGTCGATGCGCGTTCCCCTCGATATTTTTAAAACCTCCGACTCATAATTAAACCAGCCTTAACTCGCCTGTGTTCCTGCGAGCTGACTCATATTTGCAGCTGCATACCAGCACAGGCAGGACCGGACCTGCCGAGCTGCTCCTGCCGCTCGCAGCTGTGAGCGTTACCTGAGTGGCCGTGATGATGGGGACTCCTCCGATGATCTCAGTTTTGTAGGAGACCTGTTTCACGGTTCCAAGCAGCTCCTGGGGAGTCTCTGCGTGGGTGTTGTGGCCCTCGCCAGGCTTTGGCACCTGAAAACAGAGCAAAAAGGCTCCACATCTCACTATTTTTAAGAGCTTGGGCTTTATTTCACCTTTTTTCTTAACTCTCTGAATGTTATTTATCATAGGAATTCACATTACATTAGCAATGCTAATTAAATAGAGATAAAAGCTATTAGGATCAGTTATTGGCTTTGGTCTTAAAGAGTGACGATGGTTATTTTCACACCTTGAACTGGAGCAGAGGTCTGAGTCTGACAGGAAGCTCATTCTGCAACCAGCATGTTACATATGTACCATTCCTTTAAAGGAGAGGTGCTCACAGCTTAAAATAACAAGCAGACACCAGAAATTAACTTTAAAATCAGTGCTGTTTTAGACTCCTTCCTGGACTCTGATAGATGGAAAAGGAATAAACGATAAAAGGATGGGTGGTGTGAATCTGCCACTCCCAGCTAATCATTTTTCAGTAAGCAGTGTTACTGCTGTGATGGGTATTACTTTTCCCACTATGCTCCCTCCACCCCTGTGATTTAATAACCTCGACTTTGTAGTTAAGCAGCCAATACTGTAACACCCTGTGTGTTAAGGCACTAAAGCCTCACAGGAAACATGACATTACACGTACAGGTGGTCTAAACTGTATGAGGACTGACCTGGTGACTAGTTATAGAGCTGTTGTTAGCCTAGTATAAGCACATCAGCACAGGGAAGACATGACGAGGATCGCTCTCAGTAGAAGCAGAGGTAAACACTGAAAACAGACTTCAGACTTCAGCCAGAGCGTCTGAGGTTATCCATCCACAGCATGGCGTCGGTCAGCCTATTCTAGCTGCTACTGAGACTGCACATAGTGGCATGACATCTGCTGGTGAAAACCACACTGTGGTGTAGTTTTGGCAGCAAGTGCGCCTTTCTGCTTAGCAGCCGGCTAATGCAGTAATCTAATGCAGGTGGCCTGCTGGGTTTTAGCGTGTACGACTGTCAGTTTTTACCACCAAAACTCGAAAGTCAAAATCAGGAGCAAAGTGATTTCAGTGGTTTTTAACATCTCCTGTGCTGACGTGGATGTACTCCGGAGAATAGCCCAAGGACCTTAGCGCTGGTATAAATGGTACAGAGCTGTGGCGACGTCACTGTTTGCACATAACCCGACCAATGCTGCGAGTCCTTTAGTGAGGCTAATGCACTTGCTGTTGTCGCCCTTGCAAAGGATGGTGCACACAAAAAGGAAAATGGCATCTGCTGACACAAGCGACGTCTCGGTGTCATTTCAGCTGGCCGTGCATCTCTACAGGACCCTCCATTTGCAACCCAACAGATTTTTGCCCGCCTGCTCAACTCAGCAGCGGCCAGCGCAGCACGTGCGTCGATATCGGCGCACGAGTTCGGAGATTCCTTGATTATAGAGAGGCAGGGAGTTTGAAAAGGTGAAAGTGTGCACAGAAAACTTGTCAGCTGACTACAGACCACAGCAGCTGCAGGTGGCTTTAATGCTGTTGTGTCTTTACACGCTGCTACGCCTGCACTGATCTTTATCACAGTGGCCCGAGGCTGAAGACAGAGCGACACACAACAAGAGGACAAACAGGGTCAACGATGGATCTGTGTGTGTGTGTGTGTGTGTGTGTGTGTGTGTGTTGCTCACAGTAATCTTGATGGCATTGTTGAGAACACTGATCCATTCTACCAAATCCTGCTGGTCGTTGGCCTGTAGGTAAAACTTCCTCATTCCTGCATTTATAACTGTGAACGAATGAGAGGGAGAGAGAGGAATGTGTAAGGCTCGAAAGCACAAGAGGAAGAAGAGAAACGAGCTCCATGGGTATCTAAAAATATCGTCTTATTTCTGTTTCAGAGCCAGAGGATGTGTGTGTGCCATTATCCCATCCAGATGCAAATACACACACAGAGGTCAGGTCTTTGTCATTGTACAGTTTCCTCCTATTGAGTGACAAAGGCCTACTGTTTGACAGCAGAGGAACAACAAGTAGCAAGGGACAAAAGAGAGGAAATAAACCGCACAGATGAGGAAAAGAGGGAGGAAGGGAGTGAGAAAGAAAAGAGGTAGGGCAGAACGACGAGGAAGGAAGGAAACAAGGAAGGATTGAGGACAAAGGAGACTGGGAAGGAAGTGAGGAAGGAGTGGGGTCTGAGGGCTCTGTGCAGGCCGGTTGTGTTCTCGTACACAGCTGTTTGCACACAGGTACATTGTGATGTTGAAACAGGAAAGGGACAATCTGCTGCCACAAAGTTACAAGCATGCTATTGTTTAAAACGTCAGCGTGTTGGAGCACCGATAGTTCCTCTCACTGGAAACAAAGCCACACACAAACAGGTCAAAAGCAAAGCAAAGAGAAATGTATGTGGCCAGAGTCACTACGCAGGTAAAGAGGAAGGAGGCAGAGAGACGCAGTGCAGGGTGAGAGGGAATAAAGATGAACTTACCAAAGCAGAACTCTGCCTTTGGTCTTTGTTTGGTGGCATCATTGACCTTAGCGAGAGAGAAGAGTAAAGGGTGAATGTGTCAGCACCAAAAACATGAACCCACTCATCTGTGATAATTCTATGCTGCTAATGGCAGAGTACGGGACGGATAAATCCTGGCACCGCTGTCATTTAGCCGATGTAAGGTGGACTTGTGGCTGGGACAAGACGAATGTGGCCTACAGAAAACCACACATTTGGGAAAAACTCAGGAAAACGACATCCATCCATCCATTCGCTTCCGCCTATCCTTTTCAGGGTCGCGGGGGGCGCTGGAGCCTATCCCAGCTGTCATAGGGCGAAAGGCGGGGTGCACCCTGGACAGGTCGCCAGTCTGTCGCAGGGCCAACACATAGGGACAGACAACCATTCACACTCACATTCACAGCTAGTGGCAATTTGGATTATCCAATTAACCTATCCCCACAAACTGCATGTCTTTGGACGGTGGGAGGAAGCCAGAGAGAACCCACGCAAACACGGGGAGAACATGCAAACTCCACACAGAAAGACCCCGGCCTGATGGTGGAATTGAACTCAGGACCTTCTTGCTGTGAGGCAACAGTGCTAACCACCGTGCCACCGTGCTGCAAACGACATATCATACTATAAAGATGCTACACTCACAGCAGTGGTCTGAATCTTAGCTGTCAGACTCCAGTTTGTTCATGTAAATGGAGAGTTCACACGCTGAGGTTAATTATGGAGTTCCACAGGGTTCAGTGCTGGGACCAGTTCTGTTTACATTATACATGCTTCCCTTCAGCAGTATTATTACAAAGCACAGAAAACATTTTCACTTCTATGCCCATCTTAGAATAAGGTTTAACTTCCTGCTTCAAAATTCATATAAAAATGTGGTATCTAAACAGATGCTAACTCTGGATGGCATTACCTCGGCCTCCAGTAACACTTTGAGGAATCTCGGCGTTGTCCTTCAATGCACATATTGAAAAAACTGTAGGCTTGCTTTCTTGTATTTGTGCAACATCTCTAAAATTAGAAAAGTCCAATTTATTATTAATCGCTGGCTCTCTTCCACAGTGTATCGTCTGTCCTGTCTCCCTCACCTCACCCCCAACTGGTCGTGGCAGATGGCCGCCTCTCCCTGAGCCCTGTTCCTCTGGAGGTTTCTTCCTGTTCTGAAGCATCTATTTACTGTGTGACTTTCAAATGAATTTCTGAATTTATTCGGTTGTTATGATATAACATTTCATTTTTTTGAGTTTAAAATCCGGCTGACGCCACAGGAATTCGACAGGCTTTAGGATAGAGTCATGAAAAGGAAGAGGCGATAATCCAGCAGATGTTCTGTTCAGTCTACAGCTGGTACCAAGAGAAATCACACGGCAAAATAACAACGGATTTTACAGATTTAAGCACGTTTGTACGCACAGAGAGTGCAGGTGAAACGGTGTGTGTGGAAGAGTGAGGACTAACCTTGGAGATGTAGGAAAGATTGAGAGAGCCCACATTTCCTGCACCTTTGGGCAGATTCTGAAGAGAAAAAGCACAAATGTACACAAATGTATAAGCATCAGCCATTCGTGATTGCATCGAGAAGACGTAGAACTAACAGAAGTGAACAAGGTCGTAGCGCTAGCATCACTGCTGCCTGCTATGATGGAAATCAACAACAGTATTTCCTGCGTTTATTTACAGATTTCACAACATGATATTTAAAAACATTAATTATTCTTTTTCTTAAATTTATGATCTTAAGAAGAGTTTGCTTTTTTCCCCTTTCAGTAATGTTCAGTAAAAATGACAAAATAATGTAAAAGACGATGATGTGGAGTCATAAGAGAGCTTAACTTCATCCAAAGAGTCAGATATGAATAAAAAAAATGGTCAGAACTGGTTTCAGTCTTCTCTGATCTCACAATACTTGTTATAAACATCTATGTGGGAAGATCATCTGGAAAATACCAAAGCTCTGTGCGCTGGCAGTCCGACCAGCTTTCTGCATGAGGATGCGACGAGTTTTAGAAATTCCCCAACAGTAGGAAATCTCAGTGCTATCGCTAACCTGTTTCTGTTCTGGTTCCCGTTTGTCTGCTTGGTTTCATGCAGAGGTGAGACTACTCAATCAGATTTCAGATTTGAACAGTGAAGCCAAGGAGGAAGTGCCCTAATCCTGCATTCTTTCTAAAGTAACCGTTGCTTAACAAAACCCTTTAATGAAGTATAAGGTGCAGAAAAGCCAAAGTGTAACGTCCTCATATGAGGGGGGAGGGTCTCAGGGGGCTGTACGGCTCCAGCGCCTCTGAAAAACACATCAGTGGTGTGATTCACGTGTCTGACATGTCCCTTCATCACAATGAGCTCGCACACAGAGGAGTTCATTTTGACTCACTCCCACACACACCATCCTGCTGCACAGCAGAGTGTGAAAGTGAATTAAAATGTATTCCCCGGTGCAACAGAGTCTACTTCCTCCTGTTGCAAAAAAGCAGTGGGCTTCAGAGTCACGGGCAGAGACGTCTGCAGCACCTTTTCAGGTAGTAGAAAAATGCAGAACAATACGAGAGCCGAGCTTCACGGTGTCAGCGCACGACAACAGAAAAATGCTGCTGTAGCATAAAGACTTTGATGCTTCATGCAGCTGATTCTTAAGGTGCATCTAAAATATGAGCTGTGCAACAATGTGATGGATTACATCCCTGAAGCGATTCAAGTCCCTGCATGATGATTTTCACGAGCTGTTTATTGCCACTTGGAGGTAAGAAAACCAAAGTCAATACCTGTAATGGCTTCTGAACTTCAAAATAAAAGGCCTACATTTATGTTCTTACTACACACCCCAAGACATCATGACCCAGACCTCAGATGAAAACACCTATAAAAACAGTTTCTTTTCAGATGATAAAGATGTTTTCAGCTCATAAACAGCCTTACCTGGGGGTTATCCATGTACCACAGCAGGCTGCCCTGCTCAGTGTCCAGGATGAAGTAACGGCGCAAGAACCTGCCGCTGTTCTCATTCTCCTCGATGTCCAGGAAGCCGCAGAAGCGATTCTGTCGGTCCACGTAAGGCATCGCAACCCCGACCAGCTCAGCCCGCTCTGGGGCATCACAGGAACTCTGCACACACATTTAGACACAAGTGTCAAGGCAGGTTAAAGGTGCTAGGTTTGGAATTTATGACTGATCTATGGCTGATCTATGACTAGTGAACAATGCACATTTCTTTACACTGCTGACTCAGTACAGACATACGGGTCTAATTAACAGTGGTTGGCAGCTTGGGTGTTTTTCTGTTTTTACAAAGTCTGTTGCTTTTCTGTTTTATCTTATTGCTAAACTTGTATCCCAAAAACATGTAGAGAAAGTGAAACAAGTGAAAGTTTGTGTTCCATTTTTCCAGTAAGGATGGGAAGACTGGTTTGCCTGCCAGATCTGGTTTTTCGTGACGTCCAGCTTCCAGTTTGCAGCTGAGTAGGTAAAAACTGACAGGAATGAGAATTAGCAAGTCTGACGTCACTCTGTAGTGGGAAGGAGTTGCTGCTTTAGGTGGAGGAGTTCAAGTATCTTGGGTTCCTGTTTGTGAGTGGGTGCTGCAGAGCTCAGTCCTTCAGCAGGAACTCATGGAGAGCTGCAACTCCTCCACAATAAAAGGAGCCAATTAAGTTGGTTTGGCCTGGTTCTGGAGGAGGTCTCTTCCTTCTAAAGGGGAGTTTTTTCTTTCTACTTTTGCCAAGTGCTTGCACATTTGGGGCGTTCTCATTTTTTCTTCTTCTTTGTATTACTGCATCGTCTTTACCTTTCCACATAAACTGCTCTCTCTGTGCACTCTCTGTCCCCAAAGTTTTTTTAATGTTTCTGAAGGGTCACTCTTCCAGTGGGAGTGGACTTTACTGGACTGCATGTTTCACCTGCTTTTAACTGTAACCTCAAAGTTTAATTTTAAATAAAAAACAATTACAGCAATTTACTGCCGGCTGCTAAGATTCATGTCTTTCAAAAGCCTCAGTCCCCTCCGAGTTTCTACTGGCAGGTAAGTCGCTGAAACGCCTGCAGCCTTTTCATAGCTAATGAAGCCCAGCATGAAGTTTTCCAGATAAGGAAGATAATACTAATCCAACCTTCACTTTCAGAATCTACTTTTTCTTCACCAGTTTCCTTCATGCATAGTGCATACCACTGTCTTTAAGTAGGGGAAACATGAACGCTCATTCCTGTGCAGAATCCTTTGTGCACCTGATTCCTTTCATACATAAATGACAGTTTTCTTCACATCAAATACACAACGTGTCATTGAAACATGCAGATGTAAAGTGTGGTTTGTCACACTAAAAACTTTCAGGCACGCACACACACACACACACACACACACACACACACACACACCCTTGTCTTTCCATTACTTCAGAGGACATTCGATTGATTTACATTCAACAGACTTAACCTTAACTCTACTAATCCTAATCCAACCCTTACCCTAATGCTGCCAGGACTTCAGGATGAAAATTAATGATTTACATTACAGGGACTTGTCTTTTGTTTCCATAGAGGCTATGCAAACAGATTCATGCCGTGACAATATGAGTAATACACACACACACACACACACACACACACACACACACACACACACACACACACACACACACACACACACACACACACACACACACACACACACACACACACTAAGAGGTAAAAGACTATTGTTTTCCATTTCCAGCTCTGTGATTTACTCTCACACTGCAATGCCAGAATCAACATGTCTGCTGAAATCAATCATACAGACATTTATGTTGTGTCTTCACCCCAGAGCGGCTTCAAACCTCACCATGTATCAACATTTTCAATGACTGGTTTAATTGCCTTGAATGTCTGGTCCAAACTGAACTTCAACTTTGCTCCAGCCATCAGGAGTAACGAGATTTTTGCATTTCACGTTTCTTATGTCATGTCCAGCTTTGCTCAATTTTCCTTTAAAGCAGGAGGAAAAGCCAAACCTGTTCCCTTTCTTTCCAATTGCTGCCTGAGCATTTTGGCCAACAAAGAGTTTTAACACCCAGATTCAAGTTCAGATACCTGCAAAATTCTAGTTTAGCTACTCCCACGGGTGTTACAATAAATACATATTATAAACATATTCTCACATTCCCAAGAAAAGGGAATATACAACATTAAGCCAAGTTACAATTACAATTAAATTATCTAATTGGTTTCCATCTGAAGATGATATATCTGACTTAAGTATTTCTAAAAAAAACACTAAACACGCAGTTCTGCTTTAACTTTGGACGTAAACAAAGATGAAAACTAACCTGCAGCACTTGAAAGGTTAGTGATGCCTGGTGACCTACAGAGCTATGGTTAGGCTAATATTCACATGTTAGCATCTAAAAAGCAGATAACAAAGATGGATGTTGAGAAAAAAAGATGTTAACGACCCACAAAAAACTCTCTAAACATAGTCCAACTGCTAACTTAATTTAGTACTTGAGTAAACATTTTCCTGAAGAGTTTAAGGCTTCAATCGCTACAACAATGATGTTCGTTTTGTCATTTCTGCAGACTTAAACAGGCAATAAGGCCGGGCATGCTTCAGGGGACCGACCCCCAGATGGTGTCCAAGGAACAATGGTGTGACTTCAGACAAGAGTAGGTGAGCCTTGAATTTTTTGACAGCCATATATCACATGCTGTATTCTGCATAATGTACTGTACTGTATCAGTACTTTATACACAGTCACTTCCCCTAAAATACTGCTTTAAAAAATGTGTGTCAAAGGAAAACCACAGCCCATTCCCATTATTGCACAATGGTGGGAATTATTAGAACATAACACATCAAAGGCCCTGATTGACAATAAAAGGGAAATAGATCATTTTCTTAAATGGAAAACTGCAATTTGCCAGTGCAGCTAACAAAGCGACTGACTAAGAAGTGGGGGGAAAGCTAAAGCTACTGGAAGCTGGAGTGGGGATGTCAGTCATTTTCAGAGTGTGTTATCTGGGTAATGCTAACATAGCGCCGAACAAACTAAACAGCCAGTCTGAAAACAAACATTCCCTCTGAGACAAACTTGGTCTAGTCAAGTCTGAAGCAGACGCTGCAGGACTGGTCCACTGAGCTGTGTCTGATAAGACGTCAGAGGCAACCTTTATGCTAATGCGTTGGCATAAAAGAGTCGTGCACGGTCAAGAAACCACAAAAGACAATCAAAAGAACAACTGATGGCACGCTAGATGACTCTGATGTTATTTTGAGCAGAAAACAGGTGTGGCTTCAAATTAGGGCAGACAGTTTGCTGTGGCTTGTGCACAAAAAGCCTGAAAACCACTGCTTCAGGGTGTGACTACCCTGTCGCTGACGAGTCACCGCTGTAAGAGTGTGCAATTTCCTCAGTGTCTCAGGCACACCCACCCATCATGGGATGAGTAAAATTTGGTCCGTAAAAGCAGACTTTAAGCCAAAAAAACAGCAGAAGCAGGTTAGAAGTTTCACAGGGAGGCGGCTCGCTGTCACAGAGCTCAACTTTGTGGTTTTCATTTTCAATTTCAAAGTGAAAAAATCCTGTTGGAACAGTTCAGAGCACCGCCGAAGGATGAATATATCTTACACCTGATTTCATGCCTTTAGATTTCTTCAACTTTCTTTAAATTTGGTGAAAATGCCTAAACAATGACAAACTTGTATGAATATTAGTTTAATGTACACGGTTGACAGTGAGGTGATGCTACAGTTTTAAGGGGGAATGAATCTTGAATGATCTTACAGTTTTAAGATCTCTATTGACTTAGAGATCAATAGAAAACATGAAGCCATGAGAGTTTTAGAATAGCACAAAAATCAGAAAAACAACTAAAAATTAGCTTTTTTTTCCACTTTAACCTTTTGTTTGATTAAAGGAAAATAACATAACGCAGGAGTTGCTGAAAGACAGAAAGCTAGCAAAGGTACGGGAATGCAAATTTAGAACACAATAAGTGTGAATGAATGTTAGCAATGCAAGTCCATCCATTCATTTTCTTCCACCTACCCTGGTCTGAGTTGTACAGCAGATAAGTGGCAGACACTCATAAGGTTCTCTTTCTAAAAAGTCTCTAAGAGCTTCATACTGTTGCCTTTCCTTCCTCAGCTAACAGGGGAAGTATTGGTGTCACCAGTTAGGACTGTTTGGATGAGTGTTAAAAAACACAAACGCAGTTCCTCGAATTTTCACTTTGAATTACTTGAGCAAAAAAAGATTTGGGTTATTTTTGGAAATGTGCAAATATTCAGCACACGAGTAGAGAAGGAGTAAAACAAACTGGGATCAGGTAAAAGAAACGGCTCAGTGCAAAAGTCTCGAGACACCCCTCATGCTTCTTACAATGTCTTCAGCCATCTGTGAAACACAGTGAAGGCTCTGTAACAGTTTGACGGCAGCTTTGTCAAAACTGATGGAATTATGTAATCCCATTACTGGAACTGAAGAGCTCTGAATGTTCTTGGAGAAGCCTGGGGAGATATTCCCGAAGACTACTTAAAGAAGGGACAAGAAAGCCGCCTCAGAGAGTTCAGACTGTGTTAAATAATAAAAGAGGTCATACCACATGTTGACTTTCACTTGTCATTCATTCATGCAAGCTCTCAAATTCAACAATGGCAGATGCAAAGCTTCAAAACCATAATCCACAGACCAGTAAGTGATGTCACGGTGGCTATTTTAAGTCCACGGTTTTTCCGGCTCAGCAGCTCCTCAGTGATTGAAATCTTAAACACCAAAAAACCCAGTGACACTCAGGTAACTCCCCCTTCGTTCGTTAAATTAGCACAAATTACAGAGAATTAATTGTTCTGTGTTAAATCTGTGTTGTACTCTGAAACCCTACACTGTAAATAGAAATATAAGCAGATGATGCATCTCCATCGAATTATTCCACTGTCCAAACTACTAGAAGAGAATGGATCGACTTGAAGGCAGCAATTCTACCACCAACTAGTGTTTTGGTGCCAACACAGCTTTTCCTTTCTTATTATTTTGCGTATTTATAACTACATAGTAAGTATTGGGCGATCGTGGCTCAGGAGTTGTCAGTTCATCTTGTGATCGGAAGGTTGCCGGTTCGAGCCCCGGCTCGGACAGTCTCGGTCGTTGTGTCCTTGGGCGAGACACTTCAACTACCGCCTACTGGTGTTGGCAGAGGGGCCGATGGTGCGATATGGCAGCCTCGCCTCTGTCAGTCTGCCCCAGGGCAGCTGTGGCTACACCTGTAGCCTCCACCAGTGTGTGAATGTGAGAGAAAAGGGTTATATAAATGCAATCCATTATGATTATTATTATTATTATTATTATTATTATTGGAGCTATTTGCTTAACAGTATTCACATTTATAAGGTCTACAACTGAAAATTATTAAGCCCCTAATGATGATTGTCGTAAAAAAAGAGTGTGCAACACCCTCGGCCTCAGCTAGCTGTCTATTGGACAAAGTAATTAGCTCGCTCTGAATTAGCAGGTAGATTTGTTAGCTAAGCGTTTCTTATTAATTAATAAAATACTGATATTTGGTGTCCCTGTATTGATACTATAGCTGTGTTCTATATGACAGGAAGAGCAAACAGTACATGGAAATTACTGATGGAGGTTAAACAGCAGCTTTAAAATCCTGACCCAAGATTCTTTTTTAAATCCTCCACAACGATATTTTTCACTTTCAGTTTTACGACGTGCAGAAGGCTTTCTGTTGAGATCACAAGGTTGATGTACTGTTACTGTAAACTTGTTAAGAAGTTACATTCAACTGCTACTTCAAGTTCTCAGGGGAAAACACGGCTATTCTCTTGTTCTCACATCTGACTGATGATGTCACAGTACATACTGCTGACCTGATGACCCCTAACTTTGACTTTAAAACTTCTGTGCTTATATAGGACTATAATTTTTGATTAAGCAACAGAATAGACTAGAATGAATGTTTTTGTCATCGTACAGGTGTACAATGAACATCTGCCCGAGTGATGCATTCAAATACGGCACATCAAATAAAAACTTTATACAGACCCTACAAAGACTTCCTTTATGAAACAAATAAAATACATGTATAAATAAAAGAATGTAATAATTTAAAGTAAAGGGAAAATAAAAAGTATAAATTAAAATACACACAAAGGAAGGACAAGAAGTGCACTCGATTGGACACTCTTATCGATATTCCACAGAAAGCTCTGAGTCTAAATACTCGTTTCCCGACCTGAACAATTATTCAGAACAAAAAATTATTCACTTCTTCTCGTGTAAGAACATTTGCATGAAGCCACAGGGCAGCACGTAAGCCTAAAAATACCTCCTAATCTTTTTAATACTAATTTTCTACATTGTATTTATTTCAGATCAGGTATTCTGATTTCCTCTGGGCCTTCAATATATAATAACTTGTTTATCAAAAAAGATGGAAAAACTAAAACAAACAAAACAGCCAAAATGAGCTGAAATCAAACAAATAGTAAAACAAGAAACTAAAGTAAATTAAACATTAATAAAGTTAAAGACAGAAAAAGGAAAAATAAAACAAAGGACAAAATAAATCTGAAAACACGATGTAAGAGCTGAATAACATAAGTAGCACAAATATTAAAAATCAAGTACACTAATATATAAGTAGTGTTCTTGGTCCCTGTGCCAGCCTATGAGAATCCTACAGTCGCTCCTGGTAATATATGAACCTTTTACAGACAAAGCTGAATAAACCCTGATTTTACAGCTCTTTCACCTCATGAATCAGATCAACCTGGATCAGTTAAGGTGTTTCTGCTGTGAATCCGCTGCTTTTCATTTCCCGTGTTTGGTACAGATATAATACTCACGGTGGTAAATATACCTATTAAACTGTCACCAGTGCTCAATTCCTCCCCGTGGAGCTCAAACTGTAGTCACAGGCCTAAAAACATCGACCCATTTCCTCTCCCGCCTACATTAACCGTCTCTCCGACAGCCTGTGGCCCTGAACCAGGCCGCTGCTGCCCGGGTAAACCATCCCTACAAACACGGTCTGACCGTCTGGAGGCAGGAAAAGCGACGGATTTCAGGTTTACTTACACAGTCCGGCTCAGTCCGAGTCCAGTGTGGAAGCTGTCCGGCACCAGCGTCAAGTTAAACCACAATAAACCCACACTGCTTCCGCTTACAGCCTTTAGAAATAAAAGCTTCTGCTGACGACCGCGTTACGTCCGTCTGGACTTCAAAATAAAGTAAATAAAGCAAATAAAGTAAACGTTTGCTTCAATTTTCTTTCTTTTGTCTGAGAATAATTTTGCTCTCTTTTTAAATTGAGCCTTTCCTACTCGATTGTATGGGATTACATTCAGTTTTATTATCTAAACTTAAATTCTTAAATTATTATTATTATTTTTTTTTAATACTGATGAGATATTTTATTTTGTAACTGTGTTTTATTGCCTTTTTATTAATTTTTTGTTACTGTTTTCTTCACTGTTTTAGTTCCTGTAACACAGACAGCTGATGTCATCTTACCTCATTGAAAACCTTGATGATGAGTTTAATGCACAAAGTTTAAATGAAACAATTTTTCTAATTTATGGGGGAAATGTATTTTATGTAAAGGGTGCTAATGGGGAGGCTAATTCATGTTTTCCTAGTTTACAGTGATTATGGGGGAAAATCTGCTCAAACACTGTTTTGCCAAATGTCAAATTTCTGCTGTAAAGAAGAAAAACCTTAAACTATGTCATATTTTATTCACATTTATTTTTGAAATAGCAATACAGTCCAAGACAGACAAGTGAATGAATCAACATAGGTCTACATTCCTTTCTTTATTAAAATTTTCACATATTGTTTCCAGTGCTCATAATTCATAGAAACATATAAATGTAGTCCGAATTTTGTCTGAATGGTCACATTTCTGCTTTTATTTTGAAGGGAGCATAGATGTGACACATTCCTACTGTTGGCAGCTTGATCATGTTGCAGATTTCCAGCCAATCAACTGAGATGAAGTTTTTTTCCCTCCTCGTCTCTCGCTCTCTTTGCAAAGGATTATGGTAGATGCACAGAAACAATAACAGAGCTGTAAGCACGGAGGCCTGTGCAGCAGGATGTCAGCAGGTCAGCTGAAGGACAGCGAGCACAGAGTCTGCGACGTGCTTAAGAGGGGCTCTTCAGCAGGACGTATTTATCCAGATCTATGTGCACAAGGAAACGTTTCAAGCTGTGATATTACAATCCTGAGGCCTGGAACTAATGACTGTTTGTTTTAATGTTTTATGTTACTGCAAACATCCAAAGTAAATGCATACCCCACATGATCTGGTATACCATTTCATACACAACCAGGGGACTTCCCAGAGCCCGCGACTGGCCTTAAGTGTGTGTGGGTGTTGTTTCATTTGTTTGCTCGTGTGGATAGTCTCTTTGTGAGGACGATGAGGAGGAGGAAGAAAACAAAACCAACACACACACACACACACACACACACACACACACACACACACACACACACACACACACACACAGGACGGAGCCGAATAAACAGGTGGGCGAACAAACGTGCAAACACACACAGGCAGGCGGTGTTTACAGTCACCTCTCTCAGACCTGATTGTCTTCATTTGTCTAAACTAAAGGCTGCGAGCACTTCTAATAAAAACACTCCCTTCTACACAACATCTTCTTATGAACTGAACATAACATGTTTGGACGGGCTGCCAGGAGAAAACATCTGCTGTCTAAAAAGAGCACACAGCACCTATAAGCACAGTGGAGCAGGCATGATGATTTGGGCACCTTGTCACTCATTTGACCATGAACTCGTCTGCATAACAAATTATTCTTGAGGCAAATGTGAGGCCACCTGCTTCACAGCTAAAGCTTGGCCAAAATGAGGTCATGAAAGCAGAGCAGCAAGTCTACAAGAAAATGGCAGAAAAAGAACTGATGTGGTGCAACCTTCAGAGAGCTGTGCATAAACGAACACTGAAAACCTCTTTGAAGTCAAGCAGTGTGAGACAAAATTCCTCCACAGCAACAAAGTCGTGCAGACATCAATGACTTTGACTTACTGCTGCTGAAGGAGCCTCTACAAGCTGCTGAGCTGTGGGTTGTATTTCGTTTTTCACAGCACTGCAGAGAGACCTGTGAAAGTTTGACCACACATGAACTCTAAGCCTCAAACCAACGACAGGTAACATTAAGACACAATCATCGCTTCATTGCTCAACTGTGCATTTTGTGCTCCCACCCCAAATATCCAAAATTTTTATTTTTCACTGATTTTTTAAATGCAACTCATTCTTTTTTTTTTTTGCATTTTTTAATATTTTCCTTTATATGCTATTAGTATGAGAAGCTGTCACAATGCACATCTCTACCCCTGAAACACACTGACAGAAACTGAGACATCAGCAGCTCCAAAATGAAGGAAAAATAAAAAGGCTGAAGGCAGAAGAACAAGACGATGAAGCAGAAATAGATTATTTGTAAATTCTGACATCTAGTGGTGAGAGACTAGAATCACAGTGACGAAATGCCTTTTCTTTTCTTTCACATCTACGGCTGGAAGTGTTGCAAAACTGACCCAAACTTCCCCGAGACTCCTGCTCAATCACAGCATAGAATAGCTAAAAGCTTTCTTTGAGCTCACTCACTCTGTGGCAACATGACTGCAGTGATAAATCCATCACTAAGGCCTAACAGGAGGATGTACCTGTGTATATCTGTGTGGAAGGATGTGTGAGGGGGAAAACATGTGTTTAGAACCACTTTCAGGTCGATCAACATTCCTGCCTTCACCTACAGCACAGCCACAGACTGTAAATAGTGACTGAAAGCCTGACAGTCATTGAAGAGGCCCACAGGGTAGAGCCTCGTGTCTAGCTGGGAGGAGCAGACCTACAACCTGGGAATGCCTCTGTGTCCTGAATGTTGTTCGGTATGTTTCAGCTGCTGATATTATGGGTTTTCAGCCACTATGTATGTGTTTTACCACCTATTAAAAGGGCCCAAACAAGGCTTTCCATGTCACTTTTTGTCCAGAAGCCTAATATTTCCAGCTCTGAGGGTCTTAAAATCAAACTTTAACAGAGTATTAGATGCATAGTTAGCCAAAAAAACAAAAAAATCTATATTGGTTCACATCATAAAAGCCAGGAGCAGAGATTCATTTATTCAGATAGTTTTGCTTCCTTTGGTAAAAGCAGTCACTAACACTATGATCCAGCTCCAGTGTAACAAAGCAGTTTGTGAAATATTTGACGTGGACACTGAACACCTCCCACTTCCTGTTCATGCTGTACCTCATTTTCTTCACATAAAAGCTATTGTAATAAAACAAACAGGCTGCCTGTGAGTGTGATGTTTTGCTTCGTGAACAAGCTGTCTTTGTTAGTTTAGTGTTTTGGGGTTTTTTTGACAAATGGTTATTCTGTAACTAAAAGTTTCTTTGTATGCAGACGATGATTTATTATATGTCAGTTTCAGCCCTTAGATGTTTGTTCTGTCGGCTGTTAGCAGACTGACTGTATTGCCCAGAATCCTCTATTTTAATCTCTTTAAGAAAGTGAGTTGATTGGGTGGTAAGTCATTTGGCTGCACTCATCTTTCTCTTTGTCTGTCTGCCGAATGTCAAAGGCCTAATTGTTTTTAAAGAAGCCACTGCCAGCGCTGCTGCCAGCTGCTGTGCCAGCTTATTCTTCAGAGCTGTGTGAAGCCTGAACTCTCCAGGTGTCACTGCAAAGCTCTGCCAGGTTCTCAACAACCAGCTCCTGCTCAGGGAGCGTTTGGCAACAGCGCGAAGATCTGAAATCTGTTTATTGTCAGAATATCAAACCCCCACCTCCTCCTGGTACAGTAACTTTTGGTCTGAAGGCTGGCAGGAAGGCTGATGCTGGCACAGGGGCCACAGCATGCCACTCAGGGACTTCATCCAGGCTTAGTGCTCCTCAGTAACTGTTGGAAAGATTTTTCAGGGTCGCTGCCAACATGACCTGAGTGGCCCGGAGAAACAGACAGCCACAGCGGGGTGCATGTCAACAAGTACTGGGACATCCATCCATCTCTGATGTTGTCCCCCCATCTCTCTTCAAAAACTAGTTTTTCATAAAGCATTCAAATGCAAAATTCTCATTTGGTGCTCAAAAATAATCATTCTGCATCTTAATCTGGGCCGCATCCATGTTATGGACATTATGATTTGAATCTTTGGCCATATTTAATACAGACATCCACCATCAGAGGTGTACACAGAATATGAGGAGAAGCAGAACAGATCACATTCAGTGACACATAATGGAGGCACGGCTTCAACTTCGTGGAAAAATTTTGCTTCTTGAAAATTCTTGTTTGCTTTATGGTAATACATCTATGGTGTAATGCAGTAGCATGTAACATGTAGCCTGCTGGGTGTGTGTGAGGCAGGTCTGACTTAGCGTTAGTTAGGAACATACCGGATAGCCCAGTTTTTTGCCTCCTCCACACCTTCCTCCTTTTAAAGTGAAGTTGAGTCAGCATACCTGCAAGCTTTGTGTTCAAGCTGAAACACTTTCCACTTTAACATCTCCCACGTGTTTCTGCACATGCAGCAACCAAAGGGAAGCATCTTCAGCTCCCATAATTTGGCTTTTTTCAAGCAAAACAAACCATGTCAGACATCAGAGCAGCAGAGCGTGTCTGCAGACAGCATGCTCGCTTCTTAGAAATGCCACTGTACTGCAATTTATTGAAATGACACCAGGGGGTGCGCTGTGAGATGGACAAAATAAATATGTGGAACAAAGCTCCTCAAACTGTGTGCTGAGCCCCACCGACATGCAGCAGGTGAGGCAAAGACAACCAGGGAGAAAAATAGGAAGTCATTGTGTATTTAAGTTCAATAAAGGAGATTTTTGTGGCAAACTAACCAAAAAGGAGTTTTCTTACACTTATTGAGATGAAAACTTTACAGCTAAAACGTCTTGATGCATTCTCAACCGTCCAGGTAAGTAGATCCCAAAAGGTTGATTCTGTTCAACCTTTGGAGATTTACAGCTGAAACAAACATATTTAAAGCCTGAATAGTTTCTTTCTGCAGCTTCGCCTGGATACTGAAGTTAAGTGCGTGGTCTCTTTGACTGACAGGTGTTCTGACACAGCTTGGACCTCTCCAATGTGCTCGTGCCCCTTGAAGCATTTCTTTAAAGGAATTCTGTGGCGTACAGAAGCTTCTAGTTTTAGAGAGTGCACTTTTCTTATTTATTACTCCGTTACTTTGCACTGATTAGCAGACATCTGTGTTTATGGAAGAAGCTGAACTTATCAGTCCGCTCTCTCATCCAAGAGATGCTGTAGATCTCATGATCTCATTTAACGGATCTACAGCATGCTCACACATGCCGCTGGTGTCTGTGCATGACTGAAAGCTAAGAGCATGTGGAAGGTGCAAGCACCTGCAGTTTCCAGAGAGCGGTGTAAGAGAAGTCTCTGGAGTGTTACAGTTATTTGACAGAGCTCCACCCACTCTGGCTCACCTGACAAACACGACTATCAGGAAACACGACTTCTTGACAGTAAAGGGAAGGAAAGCGTCACCTTTATACTGACGCGCTGAGCAGCAGCAAGAATACCGGGAGCACTGGGATCTTACAAATTAAGAACGCTTGAAGGAAAGATTTTGCCGAAGACTTGTTGGGAAGGTTTTGGCACTGCCTCCTCCCTGCTGGCCGTCTCTGCCAGGTGTCTTTGTCGCTGAGGGGAAAATGGCTTTCCGTTCAGAGGAGGATTTATGCTGCCCTGCCTGTCATGACATTTTTAAAGATCCCGTCCTCCTCTTGTGTAGCCACAGCTTCTGTAAAGCCTGTCTGCAGAGCTGGTGGAAAGAGAAGCAAATCAAAGAGTGCCTGGTTTGTCGGACAGTGTGCGAGTGGAGTGATCCACCTTGTAACCGGGCACTGAAGAACCTCTGTGAGGGATTTTTGCAGAGTCAGAGAGCTTCATCGGGGTCTGACAGTCTCTGCAGTCTGCACTCTGAAAAGCTCAAACTCTTCTGTCTGGACCATGAGCAGCCCACGTGTATCATCTGTCGGGATGCAAAAATCCACGCCGACCATCAGTTCAGACCCATTGATGAAGTTGCACAGGAACACAGAGAGGAGCTTCACACGTTCCTGAACCCTCTGCAGCACAAGCTGAAGCTTTTTAATGAAGTTAAAGTGAACTTACATCAAACAGCAGAGCACATTAAAGTGCAGGCTCTGCAGATAGAAAGGAGGCTTAAGGAGCAGTTTAAGAAGCTTCACCAGTTCCTAGAGGAGGAAGAGGAGGAACGGATGTTAGCTCTGCGGGAGGAAGAGGCGCAGAAGAGCCAAGTGATGAAGGAGAAGATGGAGGCTCTGTGTAGGGAGATGGCGAATCTTTCAGACACAGTCAGAGCCACAGAGGAGCACCTCAGAGCTGGAGATCCATCCTTCCTGAGGACCTACAAGGCTGTGGTGGAAAGAGTCCAGCAGCACCCCCAGCTGGATGATCCACAGCTGGGCTCAGGAGCATTGATAGATGTGGCCAAACACCTGGGCAACCTGACCTTCAACATCTGGAATAAGATGACAGACATGGTCTCCTACAGTCCTGTGATTCTGGATCCAAATTCAGCCAATCCAGAGCTCATTCTGTCTGAAGATCTGACTGGCGTGAGGCACGGAAAGAGAAGGCTCCTTCCAGAAAACCCGGAGAGGTTTGAATTCTGGGATTCTGTCCTGGGCTCTGAGGGCTTTAACTCGGGAACTCACAGCTGGGACGTGGAGGTTGGAGACAACAAGGACTGGGAGGTTGGGGTGATAGCAGAGTCTATGTGCAGGAGAGAATTTGTGGGCTCCACAGTGTGGAGCGTAGAATGCAGCCATGCCGGATACAGAGCGTTCTCCCCAACCAACAAATACATCGCTCTCTCCATCACAGAGAAGATCAAGAAGGTCAGAGTTCATCTGGACTGGGACGAAGGGAAGCTGTCTTTTTTGGAGCCTGATACAAACACACACATTCACACTTTCACACACATATTCACTGAAAAACTGTGCCCCTATCTTTGCACCAGGAACCCACAGCTTCTGAAAATAGTGCCTGTAAAAGTGTGTGTGAGAAAGCTGACAGATCAGGAGGAGTGAAGTTACGGCTAGCTGGGCTTTAACCATGTAAGAGCACAGCTTTAATCACAGATTAGAAACAGGACAGATGGAGGCACAGTCACGATTACACAAATCTGGCATCCTTCGTCAACGTGCTCATAGCCCGAAATGGTTTCATAAAGCCTTGTCAGGGCGCGTTGTTACTGTGTAAATACTGCTGCTCTTCAGTTTGCACATGCTGGCAAGCTGAAGTGCAAATATACACTATATACACTGTGCTACCTTAGTTGACATTTCGTAGTTTGCTACCAGGAGTGTTTCCAGGATTGTTCAGTGACCAGAACTGGAGCAGAAAACAGACTCGTGCAGATGATAAGAAGTGTAGTCAATAACATTTTACAATGACTCTTTACCTAAGCAAAAGTAATAGTAGTACAAAAGTTTAAGCAGCAGATGATTTTACCAACGTCTATATGAATGTGAAGCTTTGTCCCCCACAACACAGCACAATAATTTAATAGATCTATATTTTAAAATTTGAAAAATAAGAATTAGCTTAAGCTTTAAGTGTAGAATATAATGGTTGTAAGTAGAATGAAATAGTAAATAGTATTTAAATAAGTTTCCCGTCACACAGGCCTAAAGTCAGTGAGCCCCTGGGTTGTTCACGAGTGGCTTACAAACTTTGCTGGCACGAAAGTGTTTTTTAAAGAAGTGCATGGAGCTGCACCAGGATCTCCTCTAAATTGTTTGATCATAGCAGGTTGCCGCGGTAACCAGTAGTTTCCATAGAGAAGGCCAAATGTTCTGCCAACTCTCACACTTTTACTAAAGTTTTACTAAAGCTCGGAGAGTAAGTGTGAAGTTTTTGTGTCCTTAATGCAAACTCTAGTTAACAGCAGCAGTCTGCCAGCGACCGCAGCAACAACACGGAGAGCTCTGTTGCAGAACTGTCTGCTACCAATTTCACCTGGTGACAGCCAGAAGGTCGAGCAACCAGGTGAAGCTGGTACAGGTGAAAACACGAGAAAATAAGGAAAACTAGAACAAGAATCATACAAAGGTATTAATTAAGGAACGTTTCTTCACTTTGACAGATTGTAATTGCTTAACAAGTGTGAATGTGTGTGTGAATGGGTGAATGACTGATTGTAGTGTAAAGCGCTTTGGGGTCCTCAGGGACTAAGTAAAGCACTATACAAATACAGGCCATTTACCATCACTCTCCAAATGGTCGGAGAATACAGATTTTTCCCTAGCAACCAGAGGTTGCCAGCGGGTCTCTAGGCCTGTGTGATTGAGGCCTAAAAGCACTGAGTTAAATTCCACACTACTATTCAGTGGTGTAAGATTAACAGTAGCCCGGCAGCATGGGTGTGGGTGGCATGGGCACAAATTATATTTCCAGGTGAGCCGGTGACACCCTCTGTGGAAACACTGCTGACACAACACAGCACCAAGTGCGACAGCCTTCAAAAGGAGCAGAGATCTTTCAACAATAACTGTATACTGATGATGGCCCTGATATTCTCCAAGGAAGTTCCAGTAACTTGAAGAGGTTAAAGCAGAAGCAGCACTCGGAGTTTAAAGTGTTGATGAAACGAGTAAGTAAAGGATTTGTTCAGTGCACTTCCAGCGTCGCTGGAACTTTATACTCTTCAGACTCTGTGCTCGACTCCCTGCACCAGCAGGTGAAGTTGTGCCGAAAACATCTATTGAACTTCATTAATTTTGGAAAAGCAAAAAGAGAGGCTTCTCCATTCTGTGACAACAACACCGTAGAACTGAAAATCCAATAGTCCCATGTTTTGGGTCACCACAGAGGAAATGCTCATTACAAATTAATGCAAGGTTGTTTGAAGTGATTATTTTTAATCTTTGATAAAGCATCCTTTCCTAATGGGAGGGGTCTCTTCCTGGATGACAATACAGTTCACATAGAGCTCAGTGATCATATGCTGTGACCTTGATCGTCAAAGCACCAAATGGGGGACCAGAAGCAGCGAATCTTCTTAAGACTCTTTTATTTGTCATCGTTCTGTCTGTTCCTCAAAGAGACACTCATCACCATCACGAATATGGATTTTGACACAATTATATGAAGTATAACTACCATCTAGTGTTCAGTTGTTTCATCATCTTAATGTTTCTTTTTTGATGCTATCATTAATCTTATGTAATCTTTTTGATTTTCAGGGCATATCACATAATCAAAGTAGCGCTCAACAGTCCAGAATACAAACACAAAGATGCTGCTTCATGTTCTGAGATGTTATTCTTTCTATCGTGTTTGATGGATTTAGAGAGAAGAGAAGAGTGTGTTATATTTTATTGATAAGGGGAAGCTTGTCTTTGAAACAGTGGACAAATTGTCACACAGTGTAGCTTTTCCATTTAGAGACAGGACATTACCCCCTCCACCCAGCACAGGTGTGACAGTGGCATTGTTTTCCTCCAGCTAACGAGTTTCAAGCCTCTAACAAGTAACGTGGAGACTGCCGTGGCCTCAGTCTGGTTGATCGATACCACTCTCTCATGTGGGACTGCACCACGGGACACAACAGAGGATATTGAATATTTCCATCCAGAACTGGGTCAGTTTGGGTTACAGCTGTTGCATGAAACACACAACAGAGGAACTATTTGTGTTGCACAACAAATGATTTTGACTTTAAATGTAATCTTGCCAAATGTTGTACCTTAAATGAACACTTTGAAAATATTTATAAGACCTGTATAAATCACAGTAGGGATCTGTTTACAGAAGGCAACAATGAACACTGCTGCTTGTTCGACGCTGGTTTGTGTATTATTTATGTGAACGGCTAAACAAGGTGCACTAATGGATTTGAGTATTTTTGCATTGATTCTGTTGCTTTTTATTTAAAAGCTGATGAACAGCCTGGTGAACAGTGGAAGATTGCTTTTTCAGTAAACTGCTCATCGTGTATATCACTGTGGTTTTTCTTTTTTAAACTGTGACTACCAAGTAAACAAAAAGTACAGTAGTTTTGCATTTTCAGTGAATTATTAACAATAAGTTACTAACAATACGTTAGTAATTCACTAGATTGGTTTAAATTATTAACTTGGTGATTCTTGAACTCATTTGGATTTTTTTGCAGACTTTAAAAGCCTCTACAATTATTTGTGTCGCATTTAGTGTCTACAATAGTGAATTTTGCGAGTTTACCTGAACGCAGCATTTGAAACGATAAGATTCATGAAGCCACTTGTGTGAAGTTTGAAACGTAACGTAAAGCAGTTCCGCTTAATGTAAAAAATGTAAAATTGGACAAAAAACTTCGCTTTTACAGAAACTTAGCAAAATAATAAATCCGCGTCACAGTGAATAATATATAGACGAATAGTTCACCATTAAATCCACATTTTCGAATTGCTCCGTCTTTACAAAAGCGTTCAGATCAGTTACTTTTAAAGGAAATTACGTTCACATGCGCCAATTTTACGCTTTTACTTTGAAATGTCGGCCGCGTGACTTCCGGTTACAGTATTTTCGCGGCTAGCTTGACACCGCGGGGGAGTCCAATGGAAGCCTTCGTCGCAGCCCGGAGGAGACAATCGAGTGAGATTTAACTCGAAAGCAGAGCTGATTTCATTAGATGGATCTTTAAAGGGCTTCTTTTCTCAACAGCCTTGGTCTGTGGTTTGTCACATTCGGTTTCAAACTCACCGATCGGCCTCTAACGGCGTCCGTTCGGCCTTGTTTATACTGTGCAGGGCTGCTTGAATCGGGGAAGCAGGCCCGGCTCTCCTGTGCCCGTTTAACGGCCGTCCTGCGGCTGGAGCGTGTTTTGTGCGGATCGGCCCTTTAGCTCACCAAGTAAGTGAAAATACCAGAAAACAGACAGCGCCAGTTTTAATGCAGGATATTCTCTGAGTTTTTCTTTTGGAGTTTCGACGTAACGCCATGTCAGTTTTTAGTTATTGTTAGCCATTAGCCTCGAGCTAACTCCGCTCTCTGTGTTGAGCTTACTGGTTATGCTAACGGCTGACACTCGACTTGCTTGAATACCAACTTCAGGGATGTAGAAGAGCTCTCACCGCGCATTTAAATGGAAACCCAGTCTGCTCTACGTGATATCCACTTGTAAAATTTGTTATGTTTTCATTAATATTTATGCTAGCGACCAACCTGTGCAGAAAGCTGCAAATGAGCACGGTTAGCATGGTGCTAAGCTAATGGTAGCCTTGTTTTGTATAACCAGCTGGCTGAGAAGTACTCCGGCTGTTAGCTGGCACTTCTGCCCTGTGTTAACCTAAGAATAAACGACTTTCTTTTTCAAAAAATATGTTTTTTTTAATTGTCAGTTTGCCTGTAAATAAAATTTAAAAAAGCAGAGCTTCATTTTACAGATGTTGATTGATTCTGTGTATTTCTCTTGGCGGCTCCGGATCAAGTTGTAAATTACATTTAGAGAATCACATACATGTTCGTCTCGCCTAAGATGCCCTCTCTTTCTACTCCTTGGTCCTCCTCTTTCAGAGAATATGACCCAGATGCAACAATGACATCTAGATTTGGTAAAACCTACAGCCGCAAGGGTGGTGAGGGCACGTCCAAGTTTGACGAAGTTCTCTCCACCAAGAGAGGCACCCTGAGCACCAAATGGGGTGACACCACCTACAAGGCCAAGGTGGGCTCAAAGCGTGCTGGCGCTCCCAAGAATGACTCAGTCCTGGAGGTGTATAAGAGGCCCCGTCCATGCGGGGACGGTTTGGATGACCCGTTTGGGTTTGACAGTGATGAGGAATCCAAGCCCGTGTCGTCCCGGAGCGGGAGCAAGTCGTCTCCCGCCAAGCCAGCCTCAGCAGAGCCGCCCCAGGCAGAACGACCTGGGGTGTCCCTGGATACAGGGAGCAGGTCCAGCTTCCAGGGAGCATCTAAGACCCAGCCGAGGGCGATGGACGACACCCTTCGGTTCTTCAACAGCAGCAGTGCCAGCACAGGTAATACACAGTCTGTTAAGATTTTCCTGAAAGTTAAATCTGCAGTGTGTCAGTGTAACGCCAAAGAGGTGACATTCACAGCCTTGCTAGTTTAAATGAGCCAGCTAGTAAGCTCAGGACACGGGTGTCTTGCATCGCGTGTCAAGCACATCAGGGTGAAGTCATTTAAACTTGGAAGAAAAGTCTAATGTTCGTTATTTTCTTCCAGCTGCTTCCCTTTCAGTTGGCAGTGATATCATTTCAGACACAGAGAAATCAGTTTCCCCGTTTGTACCCCTCTCAGCCGTTCCCTGTCAGCTTGACTCGCTTTCAGCTTTCTGTGACTGCTTCTGGCTGCCTGCCAGAGATGCGAGCTCGCTCCTCACAGCGAGCTTTGCCCCAGCGAGCACCTCAGATGGCTCAGAGGGCTGTTTTCATACTGATGGTACACCGAGCCACACTGACGGGAAGCTAGCATGACACTGAAGTTAAACCCTGCCATAAACATGTGTATTATCTGCATACAAAGGCTGCAGATGTTGACTCGATAAATATGATAATGTCATTGATGAAATGGTTCTTTTTATAAAATAAAGGGCTGATGACGGCTTCTTTCAGAGTGGTCTGTTTGTACAGTTAAACAAGTCAATAGCACGTGGCTGTGAATCAAAAGTACATTTAAGCTTGTCAGCTTACAAAGGGCTGTAAAGATTGTGAGTAACAAGCACATTTGGCTGGCTTTATTACACCACAGGTACGCTGAACGTGCCACCGTTGTGTTTGCAGTGGTGAGATGAGGGGTATTGTGGTTTTTAAACAGACTCCAGCAAGGTTAGCTGCAGGCTGTTTACTTTCCTGTTCTTGAAGGCAGATGTCTAACCCTCATCACTTTCCTCCTTTCAAACTCTAATGTCTTATGGGACCTACATAACATTGGTGTGGTTGTATTTAACAAGGATTTAATATGAGCAGAGGCACACACCTCTCTCAGGTCTCCTTCAGCAAAGATGTCACAAAACAGCTCATCCAGGAGGCGTCCTGTCGGATTCCCGAACTGCTTTATCAGCCTCATGGAAGAGCAGCAGCTCTACTCTG